TTTAATTTTTAATTACCTAAAAATAATTAAAAAAAAATTTCTTCTTGAAAAAGGAGGAGAGGATCAAAAATAAATTACTTCCTTTTTGACATCTCTTCTGCCGGCCACTGCCTGTATTTTGCTGTGGAAGGAATGAGTGTGAGTAGGGCAGTAAAGATGCAGTGCTATTGACATAGTGCTACTGCTATGAGTACATATTTAGTCGTATTTAACAATGTGACTTACRTTGGAACACCAATTACAACAGGTATAAGCAATTTCTAACAGTTGACATTTCAAATTGTGTGACACAGAAATAAACACCACCTGCAGAATGTATTATTTTCATGTTTCCAGTCTTGAAAGTCAGATGATTTTCCTTCACTCCTTTTGCAGATTGACCATCCTGAGTTTGAGATGCCACCTGAGAGTAAATTCAAAGAGAAAAAAAATTATCTTGAGGTAACATATCAGAGGCTGAAGCAAGGTAAAAATAGCTGTTTGGTGTAGGGATGTCGTTGAATTGCCTCCTGGTTCAGAGTGGCCTGTTTCCATAGGGTATGGACACAGGGGTATGAACCTCTGTAAATGTCTCTAGAAGGAATTTGTTACAAAATTGTTTTCTTCACTAAAAATTTATTTTGTAAAAGGCAATTTCTTTTTAGCTGACAAGCTTTAAAGTTCCATAAAGAGCTTGCTGTACATTTAATGTATGTTTTTTAAGTAATATGAATCTAGGCTTCCCCTTAGATTTCATCTTGTCCACAGAAAGGCATTATAACATATAAATTAAAATTTGTGTGTATTGGGGGACTGGTAGCTAGCATTTTAAAGCTAATTGTAGAAGTTGTAACTCTGAGCTCTTTGACCTTGGGAGTCATTGCAGCAAGGGTTATTTCATTACAACACTCTCATTTTTCTGAAATGCATAAAAACTGAGTTGATTTCATTTTCTTAGTTTGACAAGTCCTTAAATAATGATCCTGCTCACCCAGCACATTTCCTTGATAGGTCATGAAAACAGAAGCAAGAATCTGCCATTTCATCTCCATCCAAAATACTGACTCTTTGTATCACTGTCCACTACATTTCTCTCTCTATTTTAGGGCCTGTTATCCTAAAATGGTGTTGGAATTTAAAATGATAGTAAGGTGGGACAGAAATAAGGTTATTATTTGTTGGAGATATAGTGCTGTTCATTGAGAAATCAGCTGGGTTCATGGGATGGATAGAGTGACTTAATTTCAGTCATGTTTCTCTCCGTGCTTTGTATTGCAGGTTCTCCGTGTGTATCTCTCATATTTGGAGAAACTAGGGCACCTACTTGGAGAACCACAGGATGTTCCCCCTGGCTTCTTTTCCCTTACCTTGTCCTTCATCTCTAACCTCCAGCAAGTTATCACGCCATTGCAGGAAAGACAACAGAGAGGGATGCTGTTCTATCGTACCACCATCAGGGAGCTGCAGGTATTCATATCTGGAAGATCCAGATCAAAAGAGCTATAAGATACCTTGTTTAGATGGCATTCCCTTGCAGCTTATATGTGGAATCTGTTGAAGTCCCAGTAACCCGTTAACTTACTGTCTCTTATTGGTAGCATGTTGGGCTTTTCAGGCCTCCAGGCCCATATCTAATTTGATAAGAATATGTCTTCTTTCTTTTTCTACTACAACCGATTCCCATCCGATAGCCACAGCTTAACTGATTGAAAATATGCCTTACTGGTATTTGGGAATGTATCCCATTTTCCCTATTAATTCTTGCYGCTTAATCTGTGTGTATAGTTCAACATGTAAGCTTGACTTCACTTTTAGGAAAAGGCACCTGCGATCGACTGGCTGCTGTGTCTGCAGGCAGCCTTCCATCCTGTGCCAGTGAATCTCTCTCAGCCAATTGCGGTGCATGACATGGATTACCTGCAAGGCATGTCACGGCTTATTGAGCAGTGGCAGAAGCAAAGGTAGGAGTTAATGATAGTAACTGTTCAAGCCTCAAAAAATACTAACTTCAGATATTAGAAGTTTTAGAGGTCTGTGGAGGATGATCCTGAAATCACTGCATAATCCTAAAATCACAAGCATAATGGATTCAAAGCACATGTGACTGTTATCCTCAGGTTCAGCTAACTGTGAGGCTTAATGCCTACTCCCAATAGGCTTGCACATGAAGACATGGTATATATACATATAACATCTGGCCACACAGACTAACAGAGACAAAATGCTTATCTCTCTATCTGGATAGATATATAAATACAATACAGATCACTCCAGCAGCTGAACTCTGACACTCAGCCTAACCAGTTGCTGGTGCTAGGCCTTCTGATGTCCTCAGAGCAGGCACTTGGACTTAAAATATTACAGATTTCATGATCTGACTCCAGCTGAGTCATAATATGTGCTTAAATGGGCCTTTAATATTGGTCTTTTTAAGTGCCCTTTTCTTACAGGATCCTTCACATCTATATGATCGTTTGTCTGATTGGGAACCTCTCTCCAGCCCTTGACAGTCGGTTCCAAGATGCACGCCTGGAGCTGTCTAAGATTCTTCATGGAAAAATAGGATCCAGAATGGTGAGCTATCCTCCCACCAATTTCTTCAGCCTCTGCAGCAGTGCTAGGACACTCTTTCTGGATGTTATCTTCATGTGTCTTCCGGATGGAGTTAGATTTGGGGAGGAAAATCACTCCTGCCATGCCAGTAAATTKTTTCTCTTTCTAAAGGGGATGATAATATGGAATTTGATGTAACACCAAAAAATAGAGAACTGGTGACTCTGTATCATGAGGCAAGAAACAGCATCTTCCTTGTTSTATTTGTCTCAGCTCCTAGATAAGTCCTAATCATTTATGAAAGTAAGCAGGGTAAACTAGTACTTTTTTTTTAACTTAAATAAAGTTTTCTGAGGTGCATAAGGTTACCAACTACATTAATTACTTGTTATTTATGGCTCTCTTTCTAAATAATAGCATATATTCAACTGTTTATCTCTTTACATATCTTTCTATTGTTTTCATCTTCCTCTATTCTTTCTTGCTCTCATGTATTCCYATTTCTTTCTCTATTCTTATAGATCCCAGAAGATCGCTGGAGGATGTGCTTGAGTGAAACCAGCTTTTTTTTTGAACCAGTCCTAGGGCAGATGATTGTTCAAGAAATTTTCCCGCAGCAGAGCAAGAAACTTGTAGGTATTCATCCTCTTCTCCCCTGAGCACAGCTCAACTTCCTCTTTCTTTCTTTGCCATGTCAACTTCAGATCAAGGAAGCAAGGTCATATGCAGATTGTATATCTKTTAAAATGTTCTTTTGCATATGTTCTTGTCCCTTTTTGAGGAGGAGAGCTGCACATTTTTTTTTTCTTTTGAGGCTAAGGCTTCATTTTTTAAAGGAAAACTAATRTAGTCATTGAGGTTTATGTGGAGTTCACTGTGTATAAAAGTAACACAAAACAACAATCCCAAGAAAAGATAGCAGGAAACTCAAAACTTTGTGTGTTTGAAGCACAAAACTGAATCAATGAAGTATAATTTTATGAGGGAGAGTCTCACATTGCTGTAAATTTGGAAAAGGAGACCCCAATGTGTAATAGTTGTGGATCCTAAATTTGCRTAAGTGTCAAGGACTTTTGGTCTGGTGGCATTCCAATAAGATTTAAATACAGAGCAGTTATGCTTCCCTCTTACAGTGAGAGGTGAGAGGAAAAGGTATATGAGAGAGAATGCTGAGTTCAACAAAGGGCCACATTACACCTAAGAAACCTAAGACTAAACAGATGTAAAAACTAAATTTTCTGTGTCACTGGTAAAGAGGAATTGAGGAAAAATCTCACTGAAAAAATCTCACTGAGGAAAAGTTCTCAGTGAGAAGGAGGAATTTCTCACTGCAAAAGAGGAATATCCCTGTTTGTTTTGTGGTTGAATTGTTAGAACATGAGAAAACTAAGCAAAATCTAAAGAGTTTTGTAGGCAAACTTGACAGTGCTTTCTTTTTCCATGGCAGGCTGAGCAGATGTTCTCTGAGATCAGAGATGCCCTCTACAGTCGACTCTTTCAGGTGGAGTGGATGGATGAGAAGACTCGTAAAGAGGCTGAGCTTCTGGTATGTGCAGAAGGTCTAAATTACTGAGGCCTTCCTTTCCCTGAAGCCTTTAGAGGAGGAATGGAAGGGACCTATATGAGAGACGATCCTAGACACTTCTACAAACACATGCTATTAAACAGATCTAAATGCATTTGTTTGTGGTTTTGTAAGTGTGGTCATATACATGCGATCATTCCCTGATACATAGATGCAGAAAGGCTCRGTATTTGCTCATAGATTCCTTTAGTTAATTGTATTGAGATACACTGCACCTGAAGATTTGCACATGAAGAGAGTCATGAAGCTATGAGAGCCAATATCAGAAAACATTGTTAAAAAAAAGAGTAGAGTTCCATTATGCCTCAGACCATTGAGTTCAGAAAGCAGAGCAACAAGTGGAGGTGTATTGCTTCAAACAGTGTAGTTGTGCTTTTAAAGGACTGATTTGTAGATCATATTTGCATTATTCAAAATGCRTCTTAAAAAGAGCTTCCAGAATGTAAAGCCTTCTATTGGTCTTTTTTTTCTTTTTTTGTTTAATATGTTTTCAGATTTCCAGACTGCAAGTGGAAATTGGCTATCCAGCTCACATACTCCAAACTGACAAACTGAACCTGGAATACCAGAATGTGAGCYATATAATGTAAACATGCTTGCCTCATTACTGGCAGTTTACCTGTACCAACTGCCTGTTACTGAAAGAGCCTAGAATTTCTGGAGCAAGGCGCATACCCTACTGTTCTGAAACAGACTGTCCAGGGGACCTGCATCTATTGCTTATAGTTTGTTGCTTATGCTTTCTTCTATCAAGAGGGTAGGACTGAGAGGGATTAAAGATTGCTTGGATGTGTGTTTGGCCTGTGGGTATCTTTCATGTCAAAACTTAAACTGAAGTTCTTTATAATGGGAGAGGAAAAAAGGAAGTATTTCAGTGGATTGTATTTTGATGAGTTCCTTTCTTTGCTTCTRGGACTTTGCTTTTTGTCATACTGTCCAATTTATCCTTCATTTATGCTATATGACTGTCACATTGCCTATCTCTTTACTCAGYTGGAGATAAATCAAGAAACGTTTCTCCTCAATATCGTGGCTTGCTTGAAGATACTGAGGGAGAATTCCTACCAGAGACTCCTTCAGCATCACTCACAAAATAAGTAAGTTTTTGACACTGAAATGAAAAAAAAAAAAAAAAGAAAACAAACAAACAAACAAAAAAGAGAATCACAGACTTGCAGATTGCAGATTAGTTGAGATTGGCCACGATTTGTGGAGATCATCTAGTCCAACYCCCTGCTCACAGCAGGGTCAACTATAGGAGATGGCTCAGGACTGTGCTCAGCCAGGTTTTGGACATCTCCAAGGATGGAGACTCCACARCCTCTGTGGGCASCAGCTCTAGTGTTCGACTGCTCTCACAGTAAAATATTTTCATCTTAAGTTTAAATATCCCATACTTCAATTTTTGGCCATTGACTTTTGTCCTTTCCCYGGATACCACTGGGAAGAATCTGGCACCATTGCTTTTATACCCTCCCAGGAGGTATTTATACTCATTATTTACACTCATTATTTATATAATGATGCATCTCTTAGTCATTTTAGTGGTCCCTCACTGGACTATGTCTGGTATGTCTCTTTCTTGGAGTGTGTTTGGAGGAGTGAAGGGGGACAGAAAGGGAAGCAGTACTCCATATGTGCTTTCACCAGTGCCAAATAGAGGGGCATAATAATCTCCTTTGACCTACTGGCAAGAATTCTCCTTAATGTAGCCCAGGGTACTACTGGGCTTTTTCACTGGAAAGATGTCTTACTGACTCATACTCAAAAAAAAAGGTCTTTAATCTGGCAGCCTGTCTTGAATGTGAGCTCATGCTACCAAACATGCCAACATTTCAGACCTTGAGAAAAAAAAATGCCTTTTCTGCCCGTTATCATAAAACCTTGAATAAAGGGAATAGGTGATGGTCCTCAACTTAGTTGTCTGACAGCAAAGTATTGTGTTGAAATGAATAGCAGTGTGGTTACATCAAAAGCAGCACACAGGATGCTTTTGGAGGCAGACATGCTTGGGACCCAAGGCTGCTTCTATGCAGCGTATTACAGGAGGCTAATAATTGTGACTTACTGGACAGGGAGGCTGTGAAAGGGGAATCCATTAATGTACATGGAAACTAAGCTATGACAGTGACTGTGTGTAAACAAGTGAATGTTTTCTTTAAACGTCTTTTACTCTAGGTGATAGAAACTTCACCCTTTGCCTGTGCTGCGTGTAAGTGGTACCAAGAAAACCATTTTTTGCACACACAGTGGAGAAAAGGGGCAAAATATGAAGGAGTTAATATGTTCTCTCTTTCTCTTTTTCTGCTTCTAGCTGGAAGATTCCTCCCTGGTATGTCCACTCATACTACTCACTAAGRCAGCACATGGTGGTCTTCCCAGCTGGAATGTTTCGCAGCCCTTTTTTCAACCCAGAATTTCCCAGGTATGGAGGGACTGCAAAGTTGGAAACTAAACATAATTCCTTTTGCTGCACCATGTTTCCAGGAAGAATTTGAATGGGTTTGTCTATAACTCTTTAAACAAAGTTTAGTGTTTTCTTAAGGCAGATGGTTCCTGTTTGCCAGTTCTGCCCCAATGATCTCTGAAAGTGTTTGAACATTGACTTTGCTGAAGAAAAATCGGACTCTAGAAATTAAGCTGAGTCTGTTTTCTTTTGTCACTGACTGATATCAGACTCTCAGATTTCTTGGCATTGAATATGAATCCAGGGCAGAAATCTCATGCAAGTTTACTACAAAAGAAGATAGTTCACGTCTGCATCTTATTTTCTAGATTCTGTAATTCCTRTGAAACCTATAAAAATAGTAGAGTTGCTGAGTAACTTCAAATGTCTCTTCAAATGATCAAATACAATTGTTCTTCTCTTTTTTTTAAAGAAACCTCCTCTAATAAGTGGACATGTTCTTTATCCCTTGCAACTATGATTCTTTTGCAGTTCTTATAATTGTGTTTTTTCGTCATATTGAACAGATCTGTTCAGTAATAATTTTTCTGATACTGAAATCACAAAATATAGTTGTCCRTAAAAGTCTTAGTTATACTTCCTTTTTAAATGTTAATGGAAAATGATTTGTCGAAATCTCATTTTATTCCAGAGATAAACTCACATTGTTGTAAGAGACTTAAATTTGAAAGAAACAGATGCATCAGTTAAAATAGTTCTTCTTTTTCTGATTTTCTACCACCAGTTGTACAATATCTTCTACTGCTTGAAGTGTTTTAGAAAATCATTATCATATCAAGAATAAGACAGTGTGAAAGAATGATAGCAAAAAAAAGAAAATACAGTAATATGAGTTTTTACTCACCGTATCTTTCTGTCTGAAAAAGTATCTGGAGATTCTTGCTACTTTTACATTCATTTTTAACAAAATAGATTTTTCTCACTGTCCTTCCAGTTGAGTAGACTCAGAAATCAAACTTCATAAGCTTTTGGTGGGACAATGCACACACTAACATAACTAGTATGTTGTTATGCTCCAAATTTAAAATTTACTGCCAAAAAGAACTCTCCAGTTCAGATGGCGCTAAGTATATATTTAAAAATAAGAGTTCAGTAAAGCAACACTATTTTTATAAGCTACAGGGCTTCTGAAAAAGCAGCTCTTACAGAAGATGAGCTGTTCAGTTTTTGTCAGTGTTTTATGGATTTCCTACTATATAGTAATGATCTTCTACATTCATTTAATACTTTTCACAGTTTTAATCAATGCATGTTAGCAAGAAATGAGGTAATCATTTCATGCTATGGAAATAATCTTCAAGTGGACTCTTGTTCATGAAAATATTTGTAACTTCCTGGCATACAATCATAGATGACCTCTGGAGGTCATCTTCTTTGTAGCAGGACCATTCACAAGGTACCATCAGAATATTTGTAATGAAACCTTTGTGTAACTTTTGGGTAACTAAAGACATATCTCAACAATACRTCTTCTTTAGAGTGTGTGTTTCAGAAAGTCTCCCACAATTTCTCAACAGACTCTTCATTATTATTATGAATTAAGAGCTGGGAATACTTTTTAACTCAAACCCATGGAACAATTTTAAGCATTGGTAATTTGTTTGGATTTTATGGAGTGTAGTATATCTGGGAGGCAATTAATAGAAAGTCTGCCTGCGTTCTTTCAGAGTTGAATGCTCCTGCTCAGCACATAGTTGTACGCAGTGGCTAAAGAGAAAGAACACTCACATCTTTTTCTTTTTTAAAAAAGAACACACACATCTTTTTTTCTTTTCCTATTTTTTTTCAGCGCTGTGAACTTTGGAGCCATGGGGGTCTTCATGGCACATGAGCTTCTTCATGTCTTCTATAATTATGGTAGGTGCTGGCTATTGGTCAAGCTTATCTTCTGTGTTTACTCTTCCAGGACCTCAGTGGGCACAAGAAATTTAAATCCTGGTCCCTATAGTCAATGCATATGTATATTATTAAGGAAACCCATTCCAGTTCATGTAGATTACTAAGAGGATCTCAATGATTAGTGTGGGGAATGCTAGTGAACAGCAGAAATAACTTTACTTTCTAGGACTTCTGTTTCCCCTGCAGTGCTGCCTGGGGGCTGTCCTACCTGCAACAGGAGTGCACTACAGCAAGCTATAGATTGCTTGGTAAAACAATATGAAAGTTACTCCATGTTCGGATTTCAGATCAATGGGACTTCTACTCTTTTGGAGAATACAGCTGACAATGGAGGACTTGCCATTGCTTACCAGGTAATGCAATCTACCTAATTCCCTGATCTTAGAGTCTCACCACACAACTCAACTAACATATTGCAAGATTGTCGGCACATCATAGGCTCAGGGCAGTGTGTGCCAGGCATGTCYTCTACTTTTTTAGTTAGAGGTTTACCTCACTACTACCATGAAAGACCACTCCTCTTCATCCATTCCAGGGTGGGCCTTTGTTTTGTTCTCAAGTTATATCATGCATACAAAAGTAGATATTTACTATGTCACACTCATTCCTAAGGAACTAAGGAACTAAGATGAGTTAACTATTTGAGTTAATTTTAGTTACCCCAAAAAACAGAAATCTATGTGGTGTAAAAACAGCTCCATAATATTCCTTTCAGCATTGACTTCTGTCTAGAAGGATCCTTGCTTTCTTCATGCAAAAGTTCARAAGTTCATAGTTTCGTTCAATGTGCTCTGAGATATTTAGTTCTCAGATGGTACTTTTTTTTTATGCTGAGAATGTTGAAATAATTCACATGCATTTGCAAACTAAACAAAGGTTTATTGGTGGCAACAACATGCAAAATGTTTTTTATTCAAATATAGGTGACTCATGTTAAAAGTAGTTTTCATTCTTTCATAATGCAGTTACCACATATCTTCTTCTGACCATTAATGTGTGGTAGAGTCCTTAGACCTACTAGCATCACAGTCCATGGTACTTGAGAGTGAGCAGAGAGATATAATTACTTTTAAATTTATTAAATATTCATTAGATTGATATAGTTCATAAATGGAAGGCATSTTTTGGGGAAACTGTCTGAAGACTGGGCTGTTATTATTACTTTTCTTTCTCCACAGGCCTATAAGAACTGGCTGAAAAAGCACAGACAAGAGAAGCATTTACCTAAAATTGGACTTACACATGATCAGCTCTTTTACCTCAGTTTTGCTCATGTAATGAATTCCACGCTAATCAGGCATCTGTCTCCCTTTCCTGTCCTCCAYGTTGTTATAGTTTGTCTTTCTTAATATTCAGAGCTCTTTAACCTTCTTTACGGAACTGGGCATGATTAATGTTGAGAGATTCAGAATCTCTTTTGGAAAGCTAAAATTCACTAAATGCTTTTATGTAAGAAACCAAAGTTACCGAGGCTACATCTTTATTGTCTCATTAGATTGGGAGATGCAAGATTACATAAATCCAAGCTCTCGGTTGCTCAACATTCTCTGTGTTCTGGACTAGCTAGYTTACAAACAGAGCAGATGACTTGTTGAAAAGGGAGACTGAGGCAGAGAAGTGTAGAGAAGGGGAAGATGGTGGGAAATTGTGGTTGCGAGGGAAAAGATCTGCATACCCCATTGCCCCACCTTGCGTGTTTTCTTGCTAGCTTCAGCAGGCTCAGGCATGCAGAATGTGCAGAGACAGAAAGGCRGCCCTTAGGACTTGTTCACATGAGGCCTTTCATGCAAACTGACTTTTCCATTTTGCTTCTCTCCAGGCMATGTGTGGACACCAGGATCCTGAGAAACTGCAGTCTTATGTGCACACAGATCCACACAGCCCTTTGCCGCTTCGTGTCTGTGGGTCTGTCAGCAATAGCCAGGCCTTTGCCAAACACTTCAGCTGCCCCAGCARCTCACCAATGAACCCAGATAAGAAGTGCCACATCTGGTAATCTGCCTGGCAAAGGAGGAAGAGAAACATGAGAGAGAGATGAAGGCCTGAGCTGTGAAAGTATGGCCATGATATCTGGGCTTATGGAGAGACATGGTGCTCATATTCATTCATCTGCTTTCCTTTACTATTTAACCTTTCCTCAGCCTCAACTTGCACCTCTCTCAGCATTTATTGTAGCAAAAATTCCAACCTGAGTTCATATGGGAAGAGTCTCTTGCTGCTCCTACCAGTACTGTGTCCCAGCTGGGTCAACTCTGGAGTTTAGAAAATCGCAAGCTAGCAAGATGCCTGGTCAGTCATCTTGGGCTAGAACAGTCTAGGAAASTACTGTTATACTTGTTCTTCTGTTCGGTGTATTTTCCTGTGGAATCTAGCAGCTCCACAGTCATGTTGAAGGTGCCAAGTGGTAGCCCTAAAACCTGTTCATATCAGAGCAGCTGTTAGGGAGATCCTACAGATTACTATGCAAACCACCTATTTATACTGACAGAGAAGGAGAAATAATCTTCTGCCAGTAAGTGAAGACGAAGATAGGAAAGACAAAACTCCAGTTTCTAAATTGACAGATGAGACACATAACAATGAAGGTTGTTCTTGGTCTCTCTTTAGTTCATGAGTTGATGTGAATGATATTTAGCAGAGTTTTAGCTTTATCTCTGCCCTTTTATCCAGGTTCACTGAGACCAATCATTCACACATTAACCCATTCACTTTCATGCCAGACTCAAATGTCTTGTGCAAGAAGTATTTTCCTGTTGCTAAGTCCTCTCTGAAAGATGACAGCAAACAACAGAAATTTTAACAATGTCATTGCTTGCCTTTTCATCAAAGAAGACAGAAATGATGTATAGTCTGAGAAAAGAGAGACTAAAWCTCCTAGAACACAAAAGAGAAAAGAGAAAGGTAGCACTGCTGGTGGAAGAGGAATTAGGAGATGAAAAAGGGTACTGCCCAACAAGATWCCCTTTCTTTTCATTCTCTGATTTAAGGCAAGGATATGGGTGAAGGTGGCGTATCGGACAGATAGAAGGGGCCTTAGAGATCTCTGAAAATTATTAGCCTGAAAATTCAGAATTCCAAGACCTTTTCTGGATCCTGAATCAAATTTGCTCGTCCCTTCAGATTCTGTGACTCCTACATTTGTAAATACCCTCCAAACAGGGGAGTTCAGCTGTTGTAAGTTTTTACTGTCTAATCAAAAATGGAATTTTAGGGGTTGCTAAAATATGCCATAATTGTGAAGACTGAAATTCATAATAATTCTCTGAATTCTAAACAAGTACTGATCAATGCACCAGAAAAATTTCCAATAACAGGCTCTTCAGTGTTTTATTTTCATTAAAGACTAAAATATTAATAAAAATTGTTTCAGAAAAATACCTCACTTTGTTTATAAATTCTTTATGGTCAGATCCATTTCTTTTCTTATATATTTGTACTGTGCCCGGCAGAACTGGATTTCTTAGCTGATATTCCAATACAAATAATACCTCAAAATAATGTGATTTATTTAGTCATCAAAAAAATTAAAAAAAATAGTCTTGTGCTTTTCTTTAAGGGTCACTTTTAACCTGTGTATGCTCCTCCTCCACTCTTTCAGTCATTTTTCCCACAAACATGTTTATAATGTTTGGACAGTCATTCATTCAAATGCTATAATTAATAACCTGTAATATCAGTCACCCTACTTTGAATTATTTCATTGTATAAAGACTACTTGATTTCTTTGTAATGTATATAGAAAGCAAAAGCTGTTTACAGTCTTCGTTTTGATGAATTTTAATGTTTATTCTGTCTTGTTAAATAGAAAGGGGAAATATTTTTCTGAAATATTTTCTGGAAAGGGGAATTATTTTTTTTTCTTTTCCTGCTCTTACAGTGTATGACAAATTTAAGAATTTGCTGCTTCAAAAGCAGGGTCACCCTTGAGATTGGGTGAGCTGAATCAGTTCTTGTTTTTTACTGAAGATAGTTTTACACAAAGAGTAAGGTACAAGAAGGGAGGCTTACTGCAGAAGAAGAATGTGTGACACTTGGACTGAAGGTTTGTTGTTTTTCTCAAAAAAAGAAGGGAGAAGAACCACTTTAACTATGTGCATGAAGTTTCTGTTCATATCTTCAAAGTTAGAGGTTCCTTGGGAAATGTGGATGGTTGAAGAGAAGCTGTGTTGACTAGTGGAGATGTAGTGAAGTCGTAGTGAAGTTTGTAGTAAAGATGTAGTGAAGATGCAGTCTTCTACTAGTATAGATGACTAGTGAAGTGTAGATGTAGTAGATGTTCAGATTGTCTTCAYCTGTGATGATAGCAATGATTTCAGGCTCTATGTCACACAAAAAAAGAACAGCAGAGTGTTTCCAATGTTGAAGGAGAAGGCCAGATCTGACAGCATATCTTTCACCGCTGAATTCCTCAGCCTTTCAGAATCCTCATCCTGCACCATGTCAATCACCTCCATGCCTTCCCCAGTTGATGAGGCCACAAACGTTTCTTCCATTTCCTCCCAACCTGCAACCCAGGATGGGGATGAGTGGTACAACATAAGCTTTCTTTCCATCCTTTGGATCTCTGATTTCCATCCCCCCCCTCTTTTTTTTTCCTCTCTGCTTTACAATTTTTCAATTCCTTTTTGCCCTGTATCCATTCTTTTCTTAACACTCCCCAATTTCTGCCTGCTTTCTTTGCGCTTTTCTTGCGTGTATCCTTCCTCATTCAATGCGTATTCCACTATGCTTATTCCTCCACAGTGTTCTCAGAAATCCCAAGTGTGATTCTTCGATGTGTGTGGATATGAGTTTGCAAACATGCTGTAAATCTCACCCTTTCTGTCCTAATAAGTGCCTGCTGTTTCTGCAGTGTAATAAATCACAGATCCAAGAAGGGGAGATCATCATCACTGCTATTTAACATGAGGAACTGAGCTACAGGCAAGCAAGGCAAGGGACTGGAATCTGGATCTTGTTGTTCAACATTTGTTCTTTTCTACTTCTCCTAATAGAATCTTTCACATTGTCTTGTTAAAAGTGTTTGTCTTTCATCTATTGATTTTCCTTATTTTCTCAGTGGGAAGTGCACACTTCCTTTTGCTTTGATCAAATTTTGATCAAATTTGAGTTTTGGGGAGAAGTTTACTATAGTACGTTCCATGAGTTCTGCTAGTAAAAGCAGCATGATAAAGGTGGCATTTGCAATGGCAGATAGGACTGTCTCCCAGAAAAGAATGAGAAATTCATCACGAGTAARAGACAGGTACAGGACTCAATGGAAAGTGCACCATCTAAATGATTCTTGGCTCTAAGGAGCTTTTTGAAGTCTCTATTTTTTTTTTTTTTTCCTTTTCCCACTTTCTTATCAATCTCTTTTATATCTTCTTTCCTTGCCTTCCTGCACTACAGCAATAGTCACAGATTCACTCTTTCATCTTCTCAGGGCCTTGAGTGCATTAGAACCTTAATGGATTTATCCAGATTCATCTAGAGCCTCCACCCCCATTCTCTGCCTGTTAGTTAAGGTCAGGCCTGGATCTTCAATCACTGTCTGAGATGTTTGTAAGTGTACCTCTCTCCATCTCTATTTCTGTCACCATCACAGATTAACCTGGCCATGGTCCTTTTTGATCCAGACCTTGATCTATAAGATGTCTTCCTGGCTTGACCTTGGACCTCCTTCAATATTACGGAATTATGTAGCAGTCACTGGACATCCCTGGCCTTGGTTATTCGTCAACAGACCTGAATCTGACCCTTACTTGCTGACCTTCATTCCCAGCTTGATATTAGACTTGCATTATTATCATGGACTTGCTTTGTTCAGGGACTGTGGGGACTGGGTCCTCTTTGGTTAGGTCCCTGTCCTGCAGACCTTGCTGAATAGCTGCTTTGTTTCTAGCCTCCATCCTTTAGGAAGCAGATGCAACTTGCTGCTACCTGAAAGCTAGCTTGATCTTTCTTGAGCCTCAACCTGAACACCATGGAGCTAGGTCACCAGCTGAGTAAGGCCTYGTCCCTGCAACACCATCTGAGGAACCAGCCTGGACCTGTGTCCTCATCACTGAACAGTGCAACTCTCTACCCAGCCCTGGGATTCTGAGTTAATACCCTTCACAGGGCTGCTCAGTTGAGCTAATTTGGACTCTTCTCAAGACTGGCTGATGTTCACTGCTCCCCAGAGTCAACTTGGACCCTATTCAAGCCCACCTAGCTTCCAAAGTTCTACATGAATGTCATGGACCTTTCCTGTCAAGCCTACAAGGCCTTCAGAGCATCTTGTGGGCTGTTTGAACCCTTAAATCTCCAGAATGAGGATATGTCTCATTGTCAGTTCCACTTGCCTGATGAACTTTTGGCTGACTCTCATTACTATCCCTTGGTTTGCCCTACTTTCCTTGCTCAGGGCCTGGTCCCTGACTCATTAGTCCCTTGCCCTGTAGGTCTTTTTATCATGCTTGGCTATTGGCTTCACATTTGTTAGGACGCAGAGAGTGAATGCTGATTTCTTACATGTTTCCTCTAATTCCTCTTCTGTTTGTTTTTTTTTTCTTTTCTTTTTTTTTTTTTGATTTGCAAAATCCATTTTCTATACCCTCCTTTCAACTCCAGCTTCAGTTTTTCTACCCCATCTCATTTACTGTCTTTATTTGCTCCCTTTTTTTCTCAGCCTCTCACTTCATTCCCTCCTCTCACCTGGTGAAGGACTGTTTTCCTGATTTTGCAGTTCTAGGAAGGCATCAGAGAATGCTAAGTAGTATGTAGGCAGGAACATGACCATCAGATAGATTGTAAATCCCAATGAAAGCATCCAGGTCAAATTACTCCTCATCCAATCTTACTTTCCAGCAGAAGACACGTTTGCTCCTCAGCCCTTCAAGTTAATAGAGCCAGGATTTCTCTAGCACCACAGTCTGCCTTGTGTGACATTGTGACACCACAGTCTGTCACACTGTGACRTCACTGGGCTCTCTGACATACAAAGATTTCATTCTCTGTTAGGCAGAAACACTAGCTAAAAAGATCCTAAGACACAGAGAAAATATGGAATTGTTTGTAGACCTGTGAGAGTATGATTTGTTCAAAGTTAAAAAGAGATTGAACGAGAGAGACCTACATATGATAGGGTCATAGCAATAGGAGATTCTCTGATGTGTAAAATCGTGCTTCATCCTGAATGTAGTGACTCCTTAAAGCAATGCCCCWTGTAACTCTAAATGAAACTGGAAAGGAGTATTTTATGATTCTGATGTAAATGAAGAGGGATGAGCGAAAATGAAGATGGTTATRCATTTCCCCCTTTGACATTTATGAGTTATGAGTATTTTCTGCTGTTTTGGGTTTCTCCCTAAGTGGAGAGAAAYAAATTAAAAATAATCAATAGGTTGTGATTTAAAATGTCCTCTAGATGGTGATCTAACACCATGAATGCAGAAACAGGCTCTTACAAAGCACTTGTTCGGTAGACTAAAAAATGAAAAATGTTAATTCATGTCATATGTATCCCTTACTATTCACTTCTGGAATGAAATTGCCCACTTCTATCTGGACTGCGTTTTATGATTCTAGTGATTACTTTCCACTATTTTACTTGGGTAGCTAAGTTTTCAAATTCACGTTTAACTCCACAATAGTCGGGTTATTTGCTGTACCAAGTATCTTCCAAACTTTCCAACTTTACAGACAGCCTGCTGTTATCACTGGCTGTATTGTCTCTTTCTCTCCCTATTCTTAATGATGGTATTTCTATTCAAGGATTTTTTTTCTTCATTATTTTTTTTTCCTTTTTCTGAAATGCTCAACTCTGTCTGAATTTAGGCTTGTACCAGACATATGAAACTCAGTGCAAGATACTGACCTCTATGTCAGGTTGTGGTCTTGGGCCATCTTCTGCTTACCATGCAAAACATTCAAAGGCTTTTTTTCTGGTTATTCTTCAAAAGATTTTTTGCCTGGTTTAGAGAGTGCTGATCAAAACAATATTTCAGGAACGTAAGATTATTTTTTTAGAAACACTCATTTTACTGACTGGTATACTTTAGCTAAGTATTACCAAACTTAGTAAATTTCTCAGATACTGTCCTCTACTGAGTGGAATGTCATATGTCAAATGAGTGAGTATCATACACTGTAATACAGAAGAGAACAGAAGGCTCAGCAGATTGGAAGACAGTTCACTGGACCCAGTAAAAGTGAGTGGGATAGGAACATGGAATTTTCAGTCCTGTAGTACCTTGTAAAGTAACTTGCTGGAGTATATTCCCTACCCTGTTGTGTTAAAGGAATCTGTACCCATGTCAGCGTTAAGACTGTATACTTAAGGTGGTGTACATTCCTCACAA